CACCATAACGAGACCTCACACTAGCCAAAACATCTCTAAATCTCTTTGAAGTGATCCTAAACATAATCGACGTTTCCTTCGAAGTTGAAGTGAGCATGACTGAAAGGCGATGAATAAACAGTCTGCAGACACTTAGCCATATCTGTACAACGGATGTGCACGCCTTCGTTCAAGGCCTGAAATAAGCATAAAATCCAGACAAAGACGAACAACCAGGACTTTCTTTCGTAGTTTATAGACGGTGGACGTAGAAGAAGAAGGTGATGACGACTGGCTAATATGGTGCTCTCGATTTTTTGTTATGACGGGTTGACCACGGCTGGTGTGTGCATGGGGTTAGTTTCAGATTGAGACATGTGAATGCTTGTTATCGCTTAACAATTACTCGTGTTTGGTAAACTATGAATTGTCGTGGCTCAGCCATAAGTGATGCTTTGTAATCTATGGACTATCCTCAGTTCTTGTGAAAGATAAGGTAGCAATTCTCCTTTCTTTACTGAGTAACAGCACAGTTGCCACATTCTGTAATGAACGTTGGTATCTGAAGAATGTGGAGTAGAAATTCACAACTGGCTTGCTTTCTGCAACTTGAAATCCCGATGTGACTGCCTTGGTTCTTCTTTATATGGCGGCAAAGAACCTTTTCAGTTTGCAGAAGTGAAGAAAGAAAACATTTAATACGCCTTTTTAAGGTTAGATGTAATAATATGAATGTTAATACATTAACAACTGTATTCCCTAGTGAAATGTGACCAGTAACTGGATCAAACCGGTGAATCACAACCAACGCGTAATGTGTTCACAATCTTACAAATTTTGGTCAGAGAATTCTTAAGAGATGTGGCTTCAAAATGGCTACTTTTATAGCTTTTTTTTTTTTTTTAAAGGTTGCACTGTATTTTTTGGTCATTTAATTCCGTGAAATGTTTCGGGGCTGAAAGTGTTAAATTTCTTCCTGTATAATCGTCAGTTGCTTCAATGTGAACGCCATGTGTGATTTAATCATGTAAGTCTTTAAAAAAAAAAATTATTATTAATCTAGTCAAAACTAATATAAATACTACCAGCATCTGGTGCGGAAATTTCAGTCAAAGGCATGAGGGAAAGTCGAACCCATTATGTTGTGTATAAAAAGATACCTTACTTTCACGTTACTAAGGGATCTCTGTAAAATTGCACTCGTGATCTGATCGCCGCCACCGTGAAAAGAACCCACGACCTTCAGTGTACGAGGCAAACGGCTTGACCACGCAGGACCCCCAAACCCACCCTCATATGTATCCACGTTGTGTGCTAAGGATAATGGTCATTTCTGGATTCAGCCGAACTGACTGAAGGGAATCTAAGTTGATGACCCTTAGATATTCAGTAGCCAGAACTCATGAAGTGCGTAACTTTTAGTTTTTAACAAATAACCCACCCTCTAGAATCTTTTCCCTTTGTGTCGCTTTGCATCTCTTCCCCTCTTCCCTCTTGTCCATTTCTCACTAAGGTAAAAATAAATTAAAGAAAAGAAAATGGATGTGGTTTTACATATGAAAGCTGATAATTCAGCTAACTGCAAATGAGTAATCTAAGTATTGTACAAGTAATCTAAGTGGTGTACAAGTAATCTAAGTGGTGTACAAGTAATCTAAGTGGTGTACAAGTAATCTAAGTGGTGTACAAGTAATCTAAGTGGTGTACAAGTAATCTATGTGGTGTACAAGTAATCTAAGTGGTGTACAAGTAATCTAAGGGGTGTACAAGTAATCTAAGTGGTGTACAAGTAATCTAAGTGGTGTACAAGTAATCTAAGTGGTGTACAAGTAATCTAAGTGGTGTACAAGTAATCTAAGTCTTGTACAAGTAATCTAAGTGGTGTACAAGTAATCTAAGTGGTGTACAAGTAATCTAAGTGGTGTACAAGTAATCTAAGTCTTGTACAAGAGGCCTAAGTGGTGTACAGATCAAATGGTGTCCCAAATATCAGATAAGTAATCTAAGTGTTGGCACAAGTAAAGAAGCATCTTGTCCAAGTAATCTAAGTGGTGTACAGCTAATCTAAGTGTACCAAATAAAGTGCAACCTGTGAATGGAAAACAAATAGTGACAGAATGGGTGGTGCCATGAAAGAGTGAAAGAGGCCAGCAATAATGAAGATGCGTAAGGATGTAAGTGAACCTTTGGGTAGGAAATTTCACGAGGCGGAAGGTCTGGCGGGAGACTAAGGTTTCTCTTAGCCAGACTATGATAACAGCGATCTTCTGCGAGGGACCTGCTACAAATTGAGGATGATCAGAAAGAGGCACTTTTTCGCCTCAGTGTGAGACGTGTAGAGTGGAAGATGTTGCGTCAAATAGAGAGGTTTATGGAAAGACAAGTAGACGAAAATAATTTGAGTCTTAGCAGTGTTTTGTCATGACATGGACAAGAGACAGTATATGAACGGTTACATGCTGTTGGATATGGCAAGATATAGAGGGGAAAAAAGTGATCATCCACGCCAGATGGCAATAAAGTTTTTTTTTTTTTTTTGGTCATGACATGGACAAGAGACAGTATATGAACGGTTACATGCTGTTGGATATGGCAAGATATAGATGGAAAAAAAGTGATCATCCACGCCAGATGGCAATAAAGTTTTTTTTTTTTTTTTTTGGTCATGACATGGACAAGAGACAGTATATGAACGGTTACATGCTGTTGGATATGGCAAGATATAGAGGGGGAAAAGTGATCATCCACGCCAGATGGCAATAAAGTTTTTTTTTTTTTTTTTTGTCATGACATGGACAAGAGACAGTATATGAACTGATACATGCTGTTGGATATGGCAAGATATAGATGGAAAAAAGTGATCATCCACGCCAGATGGCAATAAAGTTTTTTTTTTTTTTTTTCATGATTAAAGAAAATGAAACAAATATTTGAATCAATGTTGTACAATCTGCAAAACACAGTTAACATTTTTATTATTTTCTGTTTCACATTAGAAGACGGGATCCGCCAAGACGCAGTGACGAGACACTTGTCTTAGGCCAGAAATCCACATCGACCACGATAATTTTTGTTTTCAAAAATGGCCTTTGCTTCCAAGTCGATCCGGCCTAAAAATTGTACCAGGTAAAGTCCTGGGAGGTGAGGGCGGCTGGGTGATGTTTATCACATCACCCACGGACTGCTGATTGGTCTTCAAAATATATAACAAGTACTATAAGCTCGGCGTCTATGGCTTAGGCGTTGCGAACGCGCTTCGTAATTCCATGGTGTCGAGTTCGATCCCAGCTGCGGATGGTTTGTGTCTTGTATTGGTTTCGACAGTACTACCGAGAGTTGGCCGTTTAGTAAGCAATGGCAAACTACAGAACATTAAATTTGCCTAGAAAAACCACAACAGCCAAATATTGCTGGAGTTGGTTTTGCAACGTCCTGTAAAGGATACATGACTAACTTTAAGCTCAATAAATATGTAGACGTGAAAAAGAGTCATTCACTTGGTTTATATTACAAAACACATTATAGGTTAGTTCGACGTTAGTCTCCCCCAGAATCCGCCCATATACACACTAGCTCACTTCTGATTGGTAGTTCCTGAGCCCCGTGTTTCGCACACGGTTACGGGGGTGTTCCACAATGCCGTTGATATCGCATTTTGTATATTTTAGCAGGCCAGCGCTTTTAACACTTTAAAAACATGAAGAAACTGGGTCTAACATAACCCTCCTAGAGAATGCTGCAACCTTTTGTCACAGGCATTCTCTTTCTCGGAATGAAAACTTAAATGCAAGACATCGCAGAAACTAAACAACAGTGCGGAACACACCCGTAACCTTTAGGAAAGTCGACCAGCCCAACAAACTTGTGAATGAAAAATGAACTACTCTATTTGGGGAGACTAACATCAAACTAACCCATTATGATTTGAATTCAGTGAAGATACTCACCAGCGAACGTTATGCTGCCGGCTGCGTGGGTGTTTTTCCTCGATGAAGAATCCACAGAATGGCGAACAGCTGACCATACCACGTGACTGGCAGGCCTGTATCACTTGGGCAGCCTCTTATATCCAACTATGATGTTACAATAGGATGTTCAGTGTATGAACATTTGGCACTTAAGTTGTCTACCTTGTCAGTTTACATTTTTCGTTCAGACAAGAACGCCGACATCGAAAAAAAAACCACACACACACACACATACACACACACACACGCGCGCGCGCGCGAGCGCGCGTTGACTCCGTGGCTAAGTCGATGCGAACTCTTCGTAATGCCGAGATGCCGGGTTGGATCCCAGCTACAGGCCATGAGCCTTGCGTTAGTTTCGACAGTGGTATCAAGAAAGCCGATCGTCCAGAAAGCAATGACAAACTACTGGACGTAAATTTGCCTAGAAAAAACACACAACAGCCAGGGGCTGTTGGGGTTGGTTCTGCAAACGTCCTGTAAAGGATACACAACTAACCTAACACACACACACTTCCTTACATCACACTTTTCCACATCACTCACCTTTTACATCACACTCGCTCATATTATATTCCCTGAGATATTATTGAGACAAAGGCGTCAACGCACACACACACACAAATAATAAGGAAACCTCACCGAGGGGGAGGGGCAATCGGCTGGCTGATTGATTGCGGTTGGAAGGGGGATGGGGGATGGGGTATGGTCTCGACTTGAGAGTCTGGGAGAACGCATCTCTCTTATAAACTGTCTAGGAGTATGGTAGGACAAGGAGTCTAAGGCTTGTTTAAGCGTGTAATAATAATAATAATAATAATAATAATAATAATAACAATAATAAGTGTAATAATGTATTTGAAAAATATAAAATGTGTAAATAAATACTTAAAAAAAAACTGTTAAATATGTTTAGAGGTCTGCTTGGTTCCCTTGCAAATTATCTTGGGGAAAATGTAGTCAAGAGGGTTTAGGAGCAATCAAGGTGTCCAGCCTACCGTGCCCCCTAAAGGAAGACAAGTAAACTAAATTAATGACCGACACACCGCTTACCATCATCAGTATTACTGCCTTGTGAAGTGGACACACTGCTTGGTTCATTTTGTGCGGCGGACAATGAACTGCTAGATGGTTTCAGTAACTTTGTCTGGTTTGTCTCTTCCGATGCTGGTTCTGAAGTTTCCGTGCTGGCCAGGGGCAGCTGACTCTGTCGGGTTTGGTGGGATTTCCTCTCTGGTTGTTGAATTATCGGAGCTTGGGCTGTGGAAGTTTATTTAGCTTGAGTTTAAAGTTTGAACAGAAAGGAACAAACCTTATTTTCACAGGGTCACAAATTGGGCGCGCAGGCCCGTCTTACATTCAGCTTTTTCAAACACTCCTCTTTCACAAAGAAATTGTATCAATAAAGCATATTAAATTTATATAATAATATGGATAATATTAATATCAAGAGGGGAAAAGGGGGGGGGGGGGGTGGAAGACATGGATTGCCGATCAGTCTATAAAATATAAGTCTAGCCTTATGTGCCCAATATGTCTGAAGGCGTGGAAAACGGTCTTCTGCTGTAAAAGATGACAGGTCAATAACATGTAAGAAAATGTTGATTGTTTTGTTTACGTTTTTCGGCTGTAAACTCCGACAGAAACACCTGGTTATTCATCCATTTCTGGATTTGTGCCAGGACCTGAGTTTTGTGAGTACATACGTTTTACAGACCTTGCTTATTTGTATACAGACTGTTGGTTCCTTGCCTCTCAGGCAGATGCACTCCGACTTTGAAGGAGGTACCCTTGAAGGAGTCACCTCTTACGAAATGCTTGTTGGGTAGGCGTAGGTCTATCCTTGTTTCCTCACAATGGGACCCCGGAATCCACACGGGGAATGTAAGATGATGCGATTCTAATATTACAGATGATAGGATTTCGCAGTAATAAATAACCTAATCTTAACATGAACATTATGTGCTCTTAATATGGTTAACCTATTAGCACCAGGAGGAATGGCAAAACTGTTTTCACAAGCGATCTCTAAGAAGAATACTTGGCATTAAGTGACAAGAAAAGGTCACAAGCAATGAGTTTTTTGAAAGAATAGGCATTCACAACAGTCGTCCCGATGCCAAGTCTCCAAGGGTTCACATGGCTAGGTTACAGGTGAAGGACTAAGGATGGTAGGGTTCCTAAGGACATCCTCTATGGGTAGAAATGACGAGGTGAGCCTCTTCTTTTGTCGTCTCACTGATTCCAGGATTAGCCCAGTCTCGTGGGTTTTCTGTATGTATTCTGCGTTCCTCGGGTGGTTTTTGGTGGTGGATTTTATTTATTTTTTATTTTTTGCAGGTTTCAGCTACAGCATTTATCCATCTCTTTATTTGTCTTCCCCTTGTATTCCTCCCAAATTTGCTGCTTTAAAAAGTCTCATATGAAGATTGGTCTAGCTGCATTCTCACTGGATGGTGGACATTGAGCGCATTTGTACTTGTAATAATCCGGACTTTTACCTTAACGGTCATGGAAAAATAAAACAGTGATACCAGCTTGATGCGGAGAGTGATCTCCGTTTGTGCCTTGTCCTAGATCAGATTAAAAATAGCAGATATGGTCAAGATAAAACAGTGTCAACCATCACACTGACGTATGGACACTAAATTACCAGTTGTTATTGACTGTTTCTTTTGTTATTTGACACTTTGCGTCATTTTTGTGTTTTTTCTCAAAAGTAAAACATTGGGATTTTTGTTTTTTCCTCCTCTGTTTGAAAACACTCTGTTATGTTGGACTGTGGCCAAGGCAATAAGAAGTTTTGCTATATACTCAAGGAGACAGATTGGAGGCCACTGATATAGCACAATATAACACTATCTTCTAGAACGATGGAAATTTGCCAACGGCCAGTATGATAGAATGTGAGATACAGCACGACGTGACAGTACATTAACGCTATAACTGGTAAAGCCTTGTCACGCCACGGGTATATCAAGCATATGATGCTAGGCTAATGGTTTTGTAGACCAATCGGTCAGCATCTAGACGGTTGCCTTTACCTCCCATAACTTTACCTGGTACCTATTTCAGGCTGAGTAGACAGACAAGTGTCTTCCGCAGTTACCCGAACAGAACAAAGTTAGGGTTTTAATTAATTCAACAGATGACATGTACCCAGAATGACAGATAAGTAGACTAAAGTAAAGGACCCTTTTCCACGCCTTCGGGCATATTGGGCATATAGGGCTACACCTATGTTTTATTGACCAATCGGCGCTTGTTGACTGATATGGTCAGCATCACTCCGGCCGCCTTTACTTCTCGGGTCTTGTACCTGGTACCCATTTAAGGCTGGGTCGACCTGGGAGCCAAGGTCATTTAAAAAAAAAAGTCTTGCACTGTCCGGATTTAAACTCACGACTTTCGAAACCACATGCAAGCGTCTAGCCTCTACACCACAGCGACTTCTAGTATGCCAGATAACACTACATAAATTGTATACACCTGTGTTTCATTCCAAACGGACATCAAATAATGGACATAACCGAACCGATCCCTACCTGGCGTTCGGCTGTTGCTGTGTTGTCTCCCAGACTGACGGCCAGGCCGGGTGATTCCGTTTGCCCTCATCTTCATCTGCAGAAACTGGCAGTCGGGTCGGTTCCTGTGATGCTCTTCGTAGATGCTGTCTCCAGCCTTCCACGAGCGGAGGCCCAGTCCGCATTGAAAGCAGCGGACACAGTCGGCGTAGCCTTGATAACATAACATTCAGTCATTATCCTGCTGTGCCATTATATGTCAGGCAAGACTCCCAGTCTTTGCCACCATTATGTTATATCAAATGCAGATAACTCAGTATCATAAATGGAATCCAGTCCAGCAGCTTTGGCCTCTCTCATCAACCTTCGTTTTAGGGTTTCTTTTGGGCGTCCTTGCCTCCTTAATCTCTTTATTTCGATTGTAATGCCGGTTTGATGTTTCTCTGCTGGTTTCTTCTCAGGATGTGTCCAGTATAGTGTCATTTTTTCTGTCTTATAACAGTTGATACTAGTGTTTGCCCAGACATTCGCTCTTTTTGAATTCATCCAATTTTATGTTATAATGTAACATACTGTCCAGTTATTTGTGTTACCTAATGTGCAATCGATATTACAGTTGTGCAAACTGGGAAGGAGGTGGGCAATTTGTAGCAAACTGAGTTGAAAAAATGGACAACGATGATGCAACGGACAACACATTTTTGTGTGTGCGCACGCGTGTGTGTGCGCGTGAGTGTGTGTGTACGGGCGTTTGTTGTGTATGTGTGTGGTTAGAGATTTTTTAACGAATTTTTTTTTTCTGCTGAAAAAAACTGTGATACCTTTCGATGTGTTTTGGTACCTTTTCAAACAAGTTTTGGTACTACTCCCAAACAAATTTCGGCCTCCCTGCCCGGAACCCATAAGGGGTGGGTGGAGGGGGATGGGAACTCAAAGAACGATAAAGGTCATTCAGGCTTGAGAAAATAACCATGTCCTTAAAGAATCAAAACGATCTATGAGTCAACAGCCAAGTGGTTTATTAAGTGACTGGGTTACATCTTCCGGTTTCTCACTCGATGTGAAAGGTGACCTTTCTCTAAGAAAACGAAACTAATTATGTCGCCGTTCAAAGTACTGAAGGTCGAAAGGACATCACTGGTATGAATACATTACACTGCAGTGCCCTGTTTTAAGTTTGAATGTGTGTGTATTTTTAAATTATTAGTCATGAATATCCCCTCTCTATAGAGATAGTCAGAGTACAGAAGGCAAACGCTGTCACCTACCAGTCAGCCCCACTGCCTAGACTCCCAAATGTCTCCCTTCCAGCAAAACAGCAAATGATTAATAGCATCTTTATCCCTACTCTATGTTATCAGTGAAATGCGATATCTACGTAGGTTCACTACCAACCCAGGAAGAGACGGGGTTACGAATACCAGAACTGGAGAGAAAGTTTGAATAAGACCATGTCTGGATTATACTAAAAGACAAAGAACGAAATGGTTCAGCCATCTATTGAGAATGCAGCCAGACCAACTGCATATGAAACTTTTTACGTTAGAAAATCTGGGAGGAAGGCGAGAAGAAGACCGAGAAAGAAATGGATAAATAGTGTAATTGAACTCTGCAAAAAGATGAACAAATCCATCAACCAAGCCACCCAAAAAGCGCGGGACAAGGACAGAAAACAACGACATTGGGCTACACGATGGTATCAGTGAGACGACAAAGACTATGCGCTGGAAAGAAGTTCATTCTTAAAATTATAATAGTGTCCCAAAGAAGTTAATTGTAGGATTGCGCAAGCAAAGCAGGAAGTTTAAAAACGACATCGACTTTTGTGACAGACTGTTGACGACCTTGTCAAACACACACTAGAAGTGAACCTAGTGTTTACAGCAGCCTTTTTGAAACTTCCTACTCAGCTCATACGGTAGGCGTGATCCTGCCCCTGTCACTCTCTCGAAGGTTCGAAGGTCGTGCGTTCAAGTTGAGTGTTAAGTTGAGTCAAGAATTGACATCATATTTCCCGGGAATTCGAATGCGTGCTCCGACCTCATCTTCAGCAGCCAGCGCAGAGTTCCAGTACTGATGGTACTGGCCACAATCTGGTTATATGTCCTTCTTGTCTTTCCTCAGAGTGTAGTAAGCCAGCCAGACCCTCTGGTTACACTCAGGTGTCTCATTCTCTCCAGGCGACAACATTTTTTTATTTCTCTACTGATTCCGTGGATTGTTCCCAAAGGGCCTTGACCACATCTGCCTTGCCATGTATCAATTCACTACCCAGTTGTGCAGATCCAGCCAATCTGTCATCCTGTTCATTACACACCACGCCGGCATTGCCTGGAGAAAAGATATAAAGTATGCTCACCACCCGTGACCTTCCTAGCGAAGCTTGCCACTCTGCTCGAAGCATCCCCGTCTTCACCTTTCTTAGTATTCTTTCTGAGTCTGTTACAATTACGAAATGTGTATGCATCTTGTTTTTTAGCTTTTCAGCCTCTGACGCTTACATGCAGCCACAGCTTCATACGGAGGCTGTTCTTTGTCTGTTGCTACTCTGTGGTATGACTAAGCCGGCAGCACCTTTCGCCTATCTGCAATAGTTGGCAATGCAAGGATATATCGCATGCACACAATCGGGTGGCTCTTGTACAACCCAGGATCACCCGCATAGCTTCCTTCTGTATGCACTCCAGTTTCTCTAGCTGACTCTTCGAGATAGTAATTAAACCCTATCTATAATCAATCACTGAGATGATTAAGTGCTGGTGTAGTGCGTTCAAATCCGTATTCAG